CGAAAAATTCGAAACATTTAAAGACACCCTGAATTCAACGTGGTGCGAAAACCGAAAGCACGCGAAAAATTACAAATTACTTGTAGGCAAGAAAATGAAAGACAATATAATTTAGTCAAAATTCAATTAATTCGTCGTTCCTGTAAGATCCGATGTTTGAAGGTGAACCTACAAACAACATATGGGCCAACAATGTAATCGCTCACGATTTCCCATCTTTCACGTCCTTCCCCTTCGTAGGTGTAGCGGATGTATATTTATATTCTTGAAAGCATCTCTCAAGATGAATTTTGCTCCATTGTGCCTATAGTGAGGCTGCTATTTTTTTGCACACTCAATTTTAACCCGCACAAAACGTCTCATCGTTACATATAAGAGCTAAGGGTATCGCGGCTAGGGAAGACAAGTTCCAGAAGCGTTCAATCAACAAAAGTTCATAGTTTGGGTCATGTGTATTGTGGACCATTTTTAAAGGCGAAATTGTTTATTTTCAGCTCAGATGATTGTTTCATTAGAATTAGGATTCTGGCAAAAAAACAGATCTGGTTCATTATTTTGTTAGAATCATCCGATATAATCCTGGTTTGCTTATTATTAAATGAAACTGCTTTGATTATGAAGTACGGTGTGGGATTTGTTCTCACTTAATCAGCAAATATTGATTCCGGCCATTTTACAGCATCTGAAACACTTCGATCAACAGTGCATATTAGATAGATGAGATTAAGCAAGGCTCATTATATAGAATAGTATATTGTTTTTGTGGTCTCACTGTGTTCGAAGTTAAAAACCTGCCGAATCACAGAATGATTCACTCAGCATAAGCTTACCAACGTTTCCTATACTGACCAATAACACCCTCGCTCTCCTTCTCTCTACCTATTGCCCGCTTGGTTTCCATTACGCAATAAGCCAGTTCCTGCAAGAATATAGTCGTATTACTACTGCGACAGTGCACATTGTACATTTGTTTGACGCCAATGGATAAATTGATGTCGGTAGTAGAGTAGATAAGAGATACAATATATCATACGCAGTGAAACTTCGATTCAGCTGCTCACAATTTGCGAGTGGCTTTTTAAGGTGACGTTGGATAAGATTGTATTAAAGATGTTACTTTCGCTTGCCTACATCCATTGGAGAGCTCGCAAAGCGGGAAACAGCAAACATTTGGTGGCACAGGGAGACGAACAGGGCAAAAAGTACTGAACAGCTAGATCCCAGAAGCTTCAGCCAGTTGGCCACGACAAGATGGGTCGTTGTGAGACTACGAGCCGAATGGACGAGGAGGACGAGCGACCCGACTAGCTTACACGGTGACGCCGTGCTAAGGAAGTGACGAGTTAGTTTAACCGGTTGGCCGTTCGCAGTTTATCGGCAGATTTCGGCAGTTGGGTGTGCGGTCAGTGGCTTTCAATCGAGCCGGCCCCATGATCGCCCACGTCTGGGCGAAGAAGTAGCAAGAACTAGAAATAGCAGTACAGAAGCTGCAGAAATACTTCTGTCTTGCGAAAGCAGACAGAGCCGGATCAACATCAACGGCTAAAACATAGTGGGATTCGACTGGATGAACTTTGTGTAGGGAAAGTGTTTCGACAATCTGTTTTATGACTTTAGTAAAACAATACGTTGTGTCTCATTATTGGCTTTCTATATATATCTATCGACGTAAGTCGGGCAAATTCGCCCAGCCAGAACGGGTCACCCCATTAAAAATTTAGACATCCTTCACTTTCGAATTGGATGGAACTTGTGCGTTACGCTGTCTATATACTTAACTGCGTACGAAGAGAAAGTTCCCGCACAGCGTTTGTGCCTTGAGAAATTGGTGAAAACACTAGGAAAAATACCGCTCGGACTAATCTTAGAACAGAGCTCCTGGCTCATCGAGGCTGAAAGCATTTAACTAAGTCATCGAATTAAGTTTTTCATTGACTGGTTATTATTGTTAGTCTGATACTAATCGTAAACAGGGTAATCTGTGCACACTGATTTGCTATGTTTTCTGCGCATCGGACCCAGTGTCATCGGAACCGGTAACCCAGTACAGTTTCAACCCTCTTAACAGGCGCAGCAACAAGAGCACCTGCAGTAAGAACAACAACAACAATCATAAAAAGCAATGGATAAATCAATTGGGCAGGCGAAACAATGAGCTGAGACATACGAAAGTGTTCTTTACGAGAGGTCTTTTCGCGTCTCGTGCTTTTTCTTTATTTTTTCTTTCTGCCCTTGAAAGACATAAAACTCTCGTTTGAAGTTCTCAATCTGGCTATCGCGCTGGCAGCAGAGAGGCAATTCCACATGACAGCACCACGAGATGGTAATAGTGACAATTATTTAATAACAAATCAATGGCGTTAGTTTGACCACATCGAGATTGACAGTCTTGATTCCTCAGCCGTTTTGTCCCTGTCTTATCTTATGTTGTCCAATTTAATAGGTTGGACAACGCAGAGTTACCATTGTCGGCGCGCTTTTCAAACAAAAAAACAAGGGCGTATTGCTTTGGAGGATTTCCACCGTAGGGACATCCATTGGAGCTGACCACGCTTTTGACAATGGTAAATTTGTTTTAGGATAGCAGAGACGAAAAAGCCATGCAGTAACATGTAGAAATATTAAATGGTAACGACACTCAAGGTAAGGGTCCGACCGGCCTCTTCGTGTATAGACTCTCGACACTGATCACTGACAACTTCTAGTCCAGGCACCAACGCCTATTACGTCTTTATGGAAAGACGGATGATAGTAGGCCAAACGCAATTTTTCGAGGTGTGGTGTAACGGCTTGCACTTCTCAGTTCTACTGTTTCGCCTTCTCAGGGTTAAAAAAAACTGAAACACTAGAAGTCTTTCCGGATCCATGCACCAAGCATTGTAACAGCAAGTTAGTAACAGTCCGCGGGTCATTTTCATGATATCCTTTGACGATAGAGATGTATGTCCCCGTAATAGTATAGTGGATAACCTAGGTAATCTGTTTGCCTGCTGAACTTACAAACGCGTGGTGGTCTAAGTTCAAATCCGGACACAGACACATTTAGTCTCGCATTAAAAGAAACCAACCGTGTGATGTAATACTTAAGTGCCGGACGTGGAACAAAAAAAAAAGTAAAAATATATATATATATATATATGGGCGCAACCCGCTAATTTTAGCCCATGTCCGTTTTCATGTCACACTTGTTTGCTTATCAGAATTTGTACAGGAAATGTACATTTTTACACTTGATGATATTGAAGCGCGGAAGATGTTTCTGGCCGCTTTGCAGATGCTGGTGCGGGTTTTTTTTCACATGGATGAAAAATGTGGCTTAAGTCGCTGCCGCCAGCATACTACCAACCAAATTAACGTTGCACTCTGTGAGAAAACATAAACTTTCTCTTCTAGAGGGGAAAAGGTGCTTGGTCGTTCGACTTCGTCATGGCAATTTAATACAACAAAAATTAACGGCTATTGTGGATACAGGAATTTCAATTTTTAGTCCTAGCGTTTAGGTCAACTTCAGTAGTTTTTTTAGACTTTTTGTGCCTCTTTAAATTTTGGACCGTTCTTGGTTTTTGCATACTTCGAACTTTTGGCCTGTTATCAGTTCAAAATTGTATTCCATTGGAATTTTTTCATATGTAACGTATGTAGGACCAACACTTTAGTAGGTTTATACCTAGCAACGTTGCCCTACACACGATTACTGTTAGAAAGGTTACTGCAAATTAAAGAAGGGCTATCTTAAAAATTATTATTCAGTTCCGAATGGAAACAACAATCACGCCATTAATAGTCGTATTGAATAAACATGACTGTCAGGAACGTCACTTCTAGACAAGTTTATTGAAATACATTTTTATTAAGACACAGTCTTAAAAACGCGGAAGATAGCCCTATTTTTGTGTCGTATCCTATGTATATGTACGTGCGCCTCCTCGTAAGCGTCCGTGTACAAACAAAAATTGCATATGGAAGCAGCAGACCGAAGATTATTGAGTGACACATAGTGTGTGTAGTGTAATGGTAAGACGAGAACGTTGTATGGCGTTAGCGTGCCATCGCAAATGACCCTTCGCCCGCCATCACGGCGTTTATGGTTACCGCGACCAGGTATGGTTGGCTTACACGCACGAGGGGCTAAGCGCCCACTTCAATGAGTTGGCCGCTGATGGGCAGCCGTTTGTATGCTATATTATTGCTGGGGCTTCTGCTGATAGTAATGCTGGCTTTCATGCCGGTGGCGACGCAGGTGTCGGGATGGCGGCCGCAGCTGCGTGTCCTGTAAGTTGTACAAAAGATGCGCGGTGCGATACGGTCTGTCCCTGTGTATTTGCCGGCCTAGCGGCCAATCGTCGGTTGACCAGTTGCCGCTGTGTCAAGCCATGCTTGCCTTTGTCATGTTACCTGTGTGGCATGCCTCCTCTCCCCGTGTAAGATCCCCTCCGTTCGTTCTCTTTAAACGGCTGACCGCCCCTTCATTAAATGTCGGGTCTGGCTGTCCGGAGCACTAACAGACTAGGTAACAACGAACAGATTTAGTGCTGCTATTGGTGCTATCCGCGGGCATCTGAACTGCCCAGTGGACCAACTGGACCAGACCAGGCAACGTCGTTCACCTCAGCTCCGAGTTACTGTATACGGGTCTTTTACGCTAAGCTAACCACCAGTAACAAACCGTTGCCACACGACATATATAAGGCGTCCGTCCAACGAGAAACACGCAGCGATACTACACTGGCTGATTGCCCTGGGATTCGATCATCGGCCGGTGCCCACCGGATCGAAAATGATGGTGTTACGTATTTGCATTAGCGAAGGCTTCCTTCGATCTACCGTGCCCGGTAGAACACTTTCAAGTCAACGAAAGACTCATAGGGTCGGCGAACGCAAACCAAGACGAAATATCCGAAACTAACCAGGTTTTTCCTTTATCTGAATGTTACCACAGTGTCGACTACTAAAGTGACTCGCTTCAACGGTCCGCTGTGTTGTACTTCATTTCAATGTAGGATACAGTGTACGGGAGGGTGAAAGGGTAGCTGCAAGAGTGCGAACGGACAGCAATCCAAAGTATCCAATGAAGGAAAGCTCAGACAAAGAGTCGCGACCCAGTAACAAACAAAGAGAAACATGCGTAAGTAGAAGCGCGCCAATTCTAGAACATTCGTACGCTGTAAATATTAGCGATACGTGCAGTGCTGGAAGCTGACCAGGCTATGCTGGTCTTCCGCTAGTGCGTCTGCAGACGCTAAATTGGTGAAACTGTTACTTTAATATGTCGAAATTTGGTTTTCTATTTCTGTCGTGCAGATTATTTTATTTTGTGTACACGCTGATGCCGCGCTTCTGCGATTATTATCATTATTCGATTTGTGATCGTACGTCTTCCAGATGTGACTCTGCTTCGAGCTGCTTGACCGAACGGTGGCTTGGCTGCCGGCTGGATTAGCCTGGAGATTCCTGGAGCGGGGAGTGGACGACATCGTCGTCCCGTGAAGGCGACGAGCGGTCCAGAGAAGAATGAAGATCTGTTTGGGCCGCGGCCGAAAAACTTTGGCGACCGCCTTGTCGCTTTTAGCGGCCTTGGGGTTCGCCAGTAGCGGCGGCGGCGCCGCCTCTGCTGCAAGTACGGCCGTAGCGCAACAGAGCAATACAAATAGTAATAATAACAACAACAATGTCCACAACGAAGAAGAACCTGGTACGTAAAATTCATCTAGATTTCGATTTTCTGTCAATTTCATATATCCGTTCATACTGGACTGCTGTCCCTGGCTTTTGAACGGGACATGAGTCAGAAGGGGCTCCTTGGATATTGGAGATCGGGGTGGTTTACACCCTGCGTACCGAAACTGTACAGCGGAATGTAGCTGAACTATAATTGTAGGTAGGTATTGGCCGCTCAGTGTCGTTCTATGCAAAGCTCGGCATCCTTATGTGACAGTGTTCGATTTTCGAGGAATTGGAAATATCCTTGGAACCATTAAAGTAAATAAATTACGAGCAGTTTTAGCCAATGTTTTTATCAAATTATGAACGGCAATTGAGCTTCTCTTTGCTAGAGCCACGGGAATTGATGTATCGAACAACGTAACTAATAACAACTTAAATAATTCTTAGTGATTTTTTTTTGTTATACTTTTTTGTGTTATACAAAATGCTGCTAAGTTATAGAACACATTTTGTTTCTGTATAGTATAGACACGAGCATAAGTATGTTACTGTTGATTCTTTGTTTACATTTTTGGTGTTTCACCGGTTTCCTTTGAACAATGTGCTAGAATAAAATGTAAATCATCATCTGATAGCCGCTGTCTATCGTATGATCTTGAATTTCTCATGATCGGCAATAACGTGGAGGTGTGTAATTTTTTATTAGATAAGTATTTCACATTTCGCAAGCTTTGTTTTGTCGGCACCCCTAAATTGCTTCTTTGTTACTTGACCACCAAGTAAGATCCTGTTACCTATAGTGATATTATGAATGACTGCTATATCTGTACGGGTGTTGTGCTCCCTTTTTCTTGGTTTTTCTGCTACAAAAATAGGGCACGTTTCAATTATTCCGGACTACGTGCATCATTTATAGAATACTCGTGCATCGCGATCATATTTTCATATTGTACGCGTACCTACATGGCCGTATATTGACATTATCAATACAATGAAATCGTAAAGCAAGGGCGGAATGCACGTTTTATCGCTTTGTTTTTTTAAAGCAAAGTGTATTGCTTCACCTTAGCTTTTTCCTCGTTTCCTTATTGCCTTTAAATATCTGTATGACGTTTCTTTTACTTTTCATTGACAACAAATAGCAATATTGCCAAACGGCTAACAATTGTTCAGCGTCCGAGGCGCGCTCCTTCTTTGAAACGTGTGCGGAATGGTGACACACAGGAAAGGTGTACATTCTGATGCGTGTGAGCAGAGAAATTGGTCGTTGCGTCTCTCGCTTAAGCTTAGGAAAAGATCAGGGACGACCGAGAGCTGCTGATAGGCGGGGATGCCCAAAGCAGTATTTGAAGAGTCGATTGCTCTTGCGGCAAAAAGGATAATTGGGACACAGCAACCGCTGGGTGTGGCTTCTACCTTTTGGCTCCGCTGAGCTGTTCCACACAGGCCTCATATCAGGGGTTTGGAGAAAAACTTAAGGTAATTTCGACTTCGGGATCGCGGGGGTGGGTTCGTTGGTTTAATGGCGCGCTAAAGATCGGATAGGGCTCCTTTTAGAAGGTTAAAACGAGGCATTTACTTAGCAGTAGCAGTTGCAATCAGGGTAGTACCGCCGCAAGGGAACGGCGCGGATGCAGTAAGAACTATGCCGAAAACCGGACCAAGTGGTCCCCGAAGAAAGCGAATTTACGCGGGTGCGGCACGCATGAGACGAAATTCGAATTTATAAATCTAAATGACTTCGTGGAAGACTTTCTTTTCGGCGACGATGGGCCAGTGCCATGGATGTTGCCACGGCTGGCGCTACCAATACGGCGGCCGCCGCAATTTCTACTGGGCCGTGAAATAAACGAGCTTCACTCAAGGTGCTTCTGCTTCTGTTAACAAGATGGGGAACATGATCCGTGGTTTGACATGGCAAAAGCTTGACAAATTATATGCGCTAGTTAGCCTGTTTGGTCACCATTTTCGAATCGTTTTGAGTAATGAGATGGAACACGCCGTCGAGGAGTCAAGAGACTACTTTTACTGTCGTATATTCAATGGGAAATAAACTATATAACAAGACTATCCGTGTTGGGCCAAAAAGAACACTGGACACGGAAGTATCATTGGGTAATGGTTCCTCACTTAAACTAATTTCTTATTGATGGGGGCCCCTGCGGGCGCTCTCGTAACATTTGCACACGCAATCTATCTTTGCTGCGTTGATCTTCAGCATGATTTGTTTCCCACCGTCATTTTCTACTGTCCAAACACTAAACATTGGCTATATTTGAATTGGCGGCGGGCTTTGTTAAGTTGATATTCATATTTTTCATTGTTTACGCACGATGGCATTATGTGTGATCAACGAAATAATATACAACGATTATGAAAGTAATTCGTTGATTAAATAGTTTGAGAGGGAGTACAACATGATGGATAATAGAGGTGCAAGTTTTTCGATTTCTATAGAAATATATTTTGCCACCGTGCCGATCCTGGCATTTGCCAGTCCTGCGAATTCGATCACGCCTCCTATAATCAGGCAAAAAGCAAAGGCGCGTTAGCGAAAAGCACATGTTATTTACATGACAGCTCAAGCATGCGCAGGAACAAACCTGATCTGAATACGCGTACGTGTACGTCGAGGTATTTCTCTGATTAAAGAAATATGTTTGACTTGTGTTTAACCGGCCGTATTCTTTAATGGCCAGCGATATTTTGACGCGTCTAATACAGTAGATGGACGAATCGAAATGACCTTGGTACGTCCTTATCAGCTACAGGAGAACAGTGATGTTACTAAGACGCAGATATACACTAATGTGCATGGCTGGCGTGAGCTTTTTGTATTGTTGACCGTTTATACAGAGTAAATAATTAGATGTGAAAACGCTGATTCCTTTAGGTAAAATGCCATTGACCCGCACTTTTGCTGTTTGTCTAAATACACAAAGATTTTTACGAAGATCGAGGGACTGAAGAAAGTTTCCATATGTGGATGCAAGATACGATTCGTTCAAATAATCGGGTACAGGCGTCGCTGATCTGGGACTTGATCATACAACGTTTCAGAAAGTTCACTACCATTAATCAACACAAAACAAAAGCTCTGATTACATAGATTTGCTCCTCTTATTAAACTGTCGTCTGCTCACTTGACCTAAACACTTTTTGGGCTTTTTTTTTTAACTTCAAGGGATTTTTAAACTTCAAGAGTAACAGCATATAGAGTGTGTGGTTCTTCGTTAAAAAAAAATGTATGATATAATCTATAATTTGGTATGGCTAGTTGTTATTATGACTCCTTGAAAGATTTTTATACCAAAGCGGCCAGCCTTTGAGGGTTGCTCGTTAACTCGTATTACTAAGTTGTCAGTCAGGCCTCCGTCTTCTAGGTATATCTGTCGTTTGTCCCGTATTAGGCGTGAACGCTCGAGCCCACAAGGCTAAAGCTGGTGGACTCTGAGCAGACGTCTGATATTTGTTCCCTGTGCCCTTGATGTAACCGGGCAATGCGAGCACCGACTTCAATGGCCTGTACTGATTTACTCGAGTGCTTCCATATGTTACATTACAGGAGAATAGAAAGAGATCCACACAGGGATTTTCCTAATATGTGTGGGGCTGAATCTAGTTCTAGCTTGTTTATAAAACTTAGCTTAACACGAGGCAATTGTGAGCGATGTTTATATCCGAATTTAAAAAAGGGACTGGCCTATTCGAGTTATGATTGTACGGCGCTTGGATCACTATAAAGTGTTTCCGTATTACGGAAAGCTGGCCTTTCCTCGTTTGTATTTCGTTTCTAATCACTACGACAGGGCCAGTTTCCTTTGTTCAGCATTTGTAGCCTGAGAGTAATAAACACAACCGAGACTTTTGATCCAGCTTTCTTCTATTTAGATTCATGGAACAACTCGCATAAGTCATTGTCACAAGTACCTTTTTGTCTTACATTCGGACGTACAGCGAACTTCACGTTTGATTTTCTACTTTGGCGCATTAAACACTGTGTTGAACACGCATAGTAACTGCGAGTGAACACTTGGTGCGACCCCCGAACGGGTACCCAGTTTCTAGTTCTCGGGCTACATTTTTATGTGATACTTTTAATGAACTATGAATAAAGCTTTCTGGCCAGCGTCCAAAGATGCTGTCTGCCAAGTCGGCACAAGACTCGTTTGTTCCATGTCTAGTTATGAGGTGTTATGCGTTTTCGGCCTTCTTTTTTTGCTGTGACTAGTTCAGCTTTATAGTCACAAGCCGAATGAAAAATATATCTGGTGATATTTTATATATTAGCTTTTCCCGTTTCCTTAAATATACTTCCGTTGCTTTCCTGGAACTCGCTCGGAAGTTCTTGTTACGTGTCAACGTTAAGTTAAAAGAATTCTTCGTTTGCACTCCTACATAACTATTCCCAAAGGAGTAATTAATTTTTATTTAAATAAATATCCTTATTATCGTTGGGAAAATGACTAAAAGCATATTTTTGCATAATTTACTTAGTATAAAAGAATGACGAAGAGAATGATTTGTTCTTTCTAGATTTCATATTTCTACCCGTGCCAAGCATGCAATTTAATTTGCATTTTGTCGTGTACTATTTTGACGATAGAGAGATTCTAGGGTTATACATACTAACGAGTGCACGTGCCTCTATAAGTTAATAATTTACCCATGGTCACGCAGGTTGAAGTCTAATGATTCCTTAATCGCTGTTAGCTACTCTTGCCATATATCTCTCCTTTGTCTGGTTCACGTCACAGTGGCCCTTGAGAACACTCGTGATATGCCCATCGTTCGACACCCGATTAGCTTTATGGACCCAGCACAGCCATACTTCTATTGGCAATTGCCATGTAATGCCCCGTCATGGAATGTTCTTTTGTCTAGGGACCGAGGCGTCTAAGACTGACACTTTATTAAAAGGCTCTTCCAAAAGCTACCGACAGTGAAATTGAGCATCAGCAGGGCTTGCTGCGGCGGCAATAGTACCAGCGGCGCTGAGTGCAATAATCAGAAGAATTGTTGTTTAAT